TAAACCCATTGATTTACAGATACAAACCCACTGATTTACAGATATAAACCCACTGATTTACAGATACAAACCCACTGATTTACAGATACAAACCCACTGATTTACAGATACAAACCCACTGATTTAGTCAGAGTAAATTGGAACCCACGCTTCCGAGTCAGTGTTTTGGATTATACCATTGAAAGACTCTGCAATCTGTTGTACACTTTGTCATTTGCTCATGAATACCTAACATTGACATTACTTTCCCAGTAACCTCCATTGGAAATCTAATATCCCAGTTGTTAGAGGCTCTACCAACAGTGGTTGATGTGGATTCTATCTATCTTGTTGTCAACTCCAGACGTTGTACATTGACTAAAGCTGCTCATTCCTAGCCAAGGTGCATGGTCTTATTTACAATAGCCAGTGTTCTCACCAGGCCTCTGAATCGTCACAGTACCGTGACACTTAGATACTTGCCTGTGATGCTTTTTAGTACATCCATGCTTTGTTAAAGGGGAACCTTTCAATCCCATGGATTGCACCAAAGAATCATGGGACACTATTGTTTATATTGTTTACAATGTTAATCTATCTTTTGTTATCCATTGTTATTTTAATCCAGAAAGTAAATTTGTTGTGAGATTAGGCTTAACTTAACTTTAACAAGTGTCTGTCTCATCTTGCCCAAATTTAAAACAATAACATGTATTGCTCGAACGTTAATCCTGCCTTTGTTAGCCATACAAAGACGGTGATAAAAACGTAAGTCTGCCAAAAAGTTGCCAAGTCGTTCACGGGTGCGGCGCCGCTGAATTAAAAAACAAATACTTGAGAAAGAACAGTAATTTGCCCATTGCAGGTAATGGCAATGATGTGACAAAACAAGTCTCACTAAGGCAGCGTACATCGGGAAGATCTATCATGATTTGTTGCATTTGCTATTACTACTCAACTGCCGGTAACACTAATTGCCAAAAATAAAATAAACAAGCAGCCTGTCATCTGAGATAGCTCCACTGTTAGCAATGTACATTTCAATTAAGAACTGAAGATATCATTAGAAAATATGTATAGTATCAAAACAATCTGAATTCAAAAATGTCATGTTTTACCAAATATGACAAAAATATTCATTAAAATTAGAGAATTGAAGATATCATCATAAAATGAACAAATCTGAGAGAGGTCTAGATGTAGTACCTATACATATAATATTAGAGCAATCAGACTAGTGGTTTTCAACAAGAAGTCAAAAATATCACTTTTTACCAAAAATTACAAAAATATTCACCAAAATTAGAGAATTAAAGATATCATTGCAAAATGAACAAATCTGAGAGATGTCCACATTAGTAGCTATATATGTAATATCAAAGCAATCGGACTTGTGGTTTTTAACAAGAAGTCGAAAATATCACTTTTTACCAAAAATGACAAAAATATTCACCAAAAATAGAAAATTTGAGATTTTGACATGAAATGAACAAATCTGAGGAAGAACCATCCAAGGTACTTGCATATCCAATTTGAAAACATTTTTGCAGTTTCGAAGAAGTTGAAATTGTAAAGTTGACGACGACGGACAATCAATAATATGAACACCTCTGCTGTGTCGACTTTGTTGACAACGGAGCTAAAAAACAAGTAAAATTAAGTTGCATTGGAAAGAAAAACTGTAAATAAATCTAAGCAAAAAAATATTCAACTGCACAAAATATGTCACAGTTATCTGTAGCAATTACACTCTGCATATGAATACAAGAGTGATTGGTTTACAATTAGCATAAAGATAAAGAAACGTGTATATTTACAAAATGACTAGAATAGGTCACATGACCAAAAGTTATATAAATAACCATATCTACCTTTGATACATACTGCAGTGTTTTGTTTTACTTACCACATATTTTAGCACACAGTCCATCCAATGCATCCACCTCTTTCATTAAATGACCTTTCCCAATCCCACCAAAAGATGGATTACAAGACATTTCACCTAGCACAAAACGAGCATACATTATAACATGACATTTAATTACATTTATACAAAATGTGTCAACGTTTGGACTGTGCTGACAAGCCTCTTTGTTATACACTGCCAGTGAGGTCTCGCACAACACTGTCTATAGTCCGTGGTGAATGAACAAATACTGAAATGGCTGAAAATCATGATAAAAATAAAGAAAATAAATATCTATTACAAATTATTTGTTTGCTTCTCATTGCAGTAAATTGTATGATTTTAAGGTCATAAGTAATTACAACATATGAAGCACCTCAAAAAAGGTTACTGTGACTCTTTTAAAGTTGTATTGGTGACAAAACATGAGTAAAATATGTCATCACCTTAATTTTGCTAGCATGCATAGATTGATTTTATCCAGACATCACTTGCGTGATTAATTATCTGTTGATTTTGAAAAAAACTTTTAGAGAGAATGAGAAACGGCCGATTCCGCCTACAAACTCAATTTTTAGGAGGTTCACAGAAATGTTCGTAACTTAATCCCCTGAACAAATATACTGTAAAATGACTAATTTTCACTGGGTTTAAATTTCACTGATTTACCATTTCAGGCATATTCAGTGGGTTTTAAATTCACGGTTTCGTCATTTAGATAATGTGTTCTATGCTAAATTTTACATATTCACTGTGTTTTAATTTAGCGCATTTTTCCAGTCAGCGAAATAAGCTAAATTAAAACCCAGTGAATAATTACCCCCTTTACAGTATACAAGAAAAATACATGATCCTATTCTCCTACGAGGGACGTTTAATAAGTAATGCCCCTGACCCACTTCCAGTTTT